ACTCGTTTTACCAATAGACATTTAATGGACGGCAGAGGATTCCCAGAGCACGATGGGCTCACTAAGGAGAAAACACAGCAATCACGGCATGCTTTCCTTCCTCCTTCTGTCCAACTGAAACTTCCGATCTGGTGGAAGGTGATACGGTATGACTCATTCTATGGTTGTAGCTTGAGCTATTGAGCCTGTAAACAAAAGCCGACAACAAAACAGTGATGTGAAAAAAGTAGGGATGCACTGATACCAGTTTTCGCTAACGAGTACTGATATTTTGCTTTCGGTACTCGCCAATACGGAGTACCGATGCTTATGCTAGCATGCCGCCGGAGGCGTGTGATGACATGCCGATTGCCCGGGAAGCCAGATTCATGTTGTTTGGCCGGCTCGATTGACCGGGAAACCGCTTCCCAGCCAATCAAAATGAGAGCTGGTGTTCTGTCGAGATCTTCAACTCGTGACGTTGTATCCGTTGTAGATTTTCGACGAGATGGCGCTGGTGCGCGTGCGGCAGCCGTCACAGGTTTTGCAATCCTCGTTGACTTCTCCACTTCCCGTAGGTGCATCTGTGTGGCTTTGAAATAGTCATCGGGTTCTCCAACTCCCGTCGGTGCTTGTGGCATCCGGTGTCCGCGCAGGCGCACAGCCGCAGAGGTCAGGGTACCATGCACAGGCGTCCTCGCACCACATGTAGGTACCCACGCAGGATGACCACATTAATATGCCCACACAGGATAGGGTTATATGCACACAGTTTATTTGTTACACATCAAACAAAACTACAAACCCCTCAACCCCCCACAGGGTTAGCAGTGAAGTAACAAAGACCACGGTTGGGACAAACACACCTACAGCCAGGGGAACAGCAACAAGGAGGGGTAACAAGACTGCAGATAGACAGCAGGCCTCAGGATACAGGAAGAGTGGCCAGGTACAAGCCGGGTCGTTAACAGGACGGCAGCGCGGTACAGGAACAGGATTAAAGGAGAGTGGTCGGGTAACAAGCTGGGTCGGTGACAGGTTTGCAGATAGGAAGCAGGGTTCAGGTTCCAAGGCACAGGACATGGGAGTCAGTCAGGTCCAGGCGATGCAATACTGAGCCAGCTTCCTGACTGCAGGAAGGGCCTAAATACCCTCAAAGGAAGTACCAGGTGATGGAATGATCACTCACAGCTGGGGCACACCCGCAGGTGAGTACTGGAGCTGCAGGTTCCTGGCTGCTGGAGACACCTGCAGGCGAGCACAGGAACTGCAGGACCTGGCTCCAGCGCCACCTGGGGGTGCTCTGGATCCTGACAGCAGATTGTACAGCTTGAGACTTCTCTTTGGTGGCTGCGCAGGAGCACTGACGGGAGTAGGCGGTCTCGACGAGTTGGAGAATTCAATAGAGCACCGGCTTCCTGGCCAATAAGGAAGCTGGGCAGCAAGTAATGACCCCCGCCTCCCGGCTTGGCTGGGAAGCCAGCTTCCCAGCCAATCAGCATAAGGACGACTTCCCGGCCAATCTGGAAGGCGGGTCATTACTCACCGCCCGGAAAAGCCGGCTCCATGTTCCCGTACGGCACTGCTGGTCAGAGGAAATCTCCCTCTGACCGGAAGTTCAGGTATCGGGGTAAGTATCGGAGCATTTGGGCGAGTAAAAGAACTCTGTATCGGCACCAATACTGATACTGAATATTGATTTGCAATATTTGTTATTCACCTGATTAAAAAGGAAATAAAACATTATGAGGTGCAGAGTGGACGGCTGGGAGACCCTGAAGCGTTTCCCTCATTTCTTTTCTGGTGAAACCTCCTAACAGTTCCCCCGGAAGGCAGAAATAAGGTACAGGGGTTCCACTCCATCCAGAACTAACAAAGTCTTCACTGTGCTGAGGAGGTGACCGCTTACAATTTATCTTCGTATAACACATAAAAAAGCTTCCGTAAAAAAAAAAACACAACACGACCCGTTATTGTTTTATTTGATACATTATAAATATTTGACATTAAAAAAAAAAAGACATCCGTTAAAAAAAAGCACCGAATATAAAACATGTAAAATCATAAAGCAGAACTCCGGGGAAAATGATCATGAACCCTTGCCCGGGGGTTAGGTGCTTGTTTTGGTCTACGGAGGTAAAATAACAAAGCTATACTCACCCGATGCTCTGAGTGGGCCGGCTGTGACAGTTCGCCTCCAGCCTGTCTCCTTCAACGCTGCAGCGATGGTATGTCCCTCAGTATCCGCACGTCCTATTCGCACACAGGGGGGAATTTATCAAAACTGGAGCAGACAGAGTCTGGAGCAGCTGTGCACGGCAACCAATCAGCTTCTCTCATCAGTTTGTTCAGTTAAGCTTTGAAAATGGAAGCTGATTGGTTGTCATGCACGGCTGCTCCAATTTTGATAAATTCCCCCCACAGCGTATAGAATGATGATTTACAGGACCTTAGACCTCTGTAGCAAAGGGGGGGGAGAGGCTCCAGGGACCACCTTAAGAGCATCCCTGCTTGTGCCATCGGATGCCTGCGCAGGCACACTAACGCAAATTGGGGAATTTGATAATGCTCTTAGGTGGCCGCGCAGGCGCACTGACGGGAGTTGGAGATCTCGACAAGTTGGACATCTCGATAGAACACCGGCTCCAGGGATCGGGTGAGTATAACTTATTTTCCTCCCTAGACCAAAACGAGCACTTAACCCTTGCAGTGCTGGGGGGAGGGGGTTTAGCCCCATTGTAAGGGTTAATAATCATTTCCCCGGAGTTCTTTAATTGTTCTTAGTTTATAAAGTTGCAGAAAATATGAATACAAATGAAACCGTCTTTTGGGAATAAAACACAAATGACACAGAAGAGCGCTGCTCAGCACAACAAATTATGTAAGAATGAAGAACTGCTCTCTCTCCTTGTGCGGGGTGACTGGTCTACTCTCCGCCCCCTCCTGTAATAAAGACCGCTCACTACTGCTCTCTGTCCTTGTGGAGGGTAACTGGTCTGGTCTCCGCCCCCTTCTGTAATAAAGACCAGTCACTACTGCTCTCTCTCCTTGTGCAGGGTGACTGGTCTGGTCTCCACCCCCTCCTGTAATAAAGACCGCTCACTGCTGATCTCTGTCCTTGTGCAGGGTGACTGGTCTCGTCTCCGCCCCCCTCTTGTAGTTTCCTGTAGAGGGTGGAGCCTGCTGAGTCCCTCCCACAGCTCTGCATGGACTAGGTGCAGCACAGTGATGATATAAATACTACTTTTACAAGGAAATCCGGGTTAACAAAGGCAAATGGTGCACGCTATTATTCTCTGAGGTAGGTGTGTTGAGAAAAGACTGAACAGTGTTAGAAGCCTTAATATATCTGCGTATTACATTATTGGGTCCAGTAGAGAACTGCAGGCAAATCATACAAAAATTAAATAATAATCTCTTTAAAACCCATTCACCAGCTTAGAATATCTTCTAATGTTAATCCCTCTATCAAGTGTAAAAAGCCCGGTAATGCTGCCAGCAATCAAGCCTTAGTTGGCCTGGCAGTGCGTGCGTTACCATGCATTGTAGTCCACTGCAACACACGTCTGTTAGCGAAATGATGGCACCAAAACGCGTATTGTACTAAATGCACACATTACTGCAGCTCAACAGTGAGAACTCTGCCTGCAGCGTTGTCACCTTCATCAGTGCTGTAGCCTCACCGGCAATGTCTGTGTCCCCACTACAGAGAATTACTATGACTTCCTGTCTCCCAGTATAGACAAAGATGGCATGAAAATCCTGACATAGGCTATGAACCTTCCCTACTCTATCAAAAGCCAAATATCACAGTTTGCCTGGAGTTGGACTTCAGTGCAAGTCAGGAGTGTCCCGAGGCTGGGTGTCAAACAGAGCGGGTACTGGGTAACACCCCCGCTGTGACATCATCGTGCATGCACGGCCATCTCGGTGATACCTGCTGGCGGTCATCTTGGTGATGGATGCCGGCAGAGAGAGGAGGAGACATTCATCCGGCGGATAAGGTTCACCCGCCGGGTCCCCTCCTCTCTCCTGCAACTGTCGGGCTCTTGGTCCATGGCCGAATGCCTGACTTTTCATAGGGGTGACACCAAAATGACTGTTAGTCATTTTGGTGTCACCCCTCCAATGGTGTCACCCGGGTGCGGGTCACACCCCCCTAGTGACTACACTGGCACAAGTTGACTTTTACAGTGCCTGATATCTCCGAGACTGGTCCAAATAGTTTTCTGAAGTGTGCATTTATTTTCCTAAATTTCAGAATTATCGTCCTGTCTTCCAGAATATTCCAAATCTTACACACATCAGCCCCATCAGTCTGAACAATATGGGAACCCAGCCAATCAATTCACTAGGCACCTCTGACATCAGCCTCGGCACATCAGCATCAATCTACTGTATGAAGTCACTGGTGCTATGACATCACTGCGGCACTGTACTTTTATAAGTCTCCACTGAACTCTATCTATTCTCAAGACACAATAGACTGCCATTAAAATCGGTGAATCCGCTGTGTGAAGGCGAAAGAAAAAAGAAATGGGATCTTGGAACTCATCCTTAAATCATTTTCTTGGAGTTCATGGAAGGGCACAGGAATTCAAAGACGGTCGGGTTATACTGCCACCTACAGGAGGACTTGGACAATGCCACTGTGGCCAGCCTGGTATAACCTCCTACTCCCAGCATGCCTCAGTTTGGTGAATAAAAAGCAGTACCAAGAGCATGATCACAGACACAGAATGGTGGGACCGGTGCCCCTCTTGCTTGTCCATTGAGAGACACAAGAATTTAGAGACTGCCAGGATGTCCAAAAGCAGTCGAAGTGAGGGGTGGACAACAAAACACTAACAGGCCCACAAAAAACAATAGAACCGAGGCATGCTGGGAGTAGGAGGGGTCATGTTTGGCTGGCCACATTTTCTTTTGGCTTGCCCAGTGTCCAAATCCTCAGGCAGTATAACCCAGCAGTTGCTGAACTCCTGTGTCCTTCAATGAATGAGAATGTGAAGAACTTGAACCCTCTACCCCACCACTGTAGGCAACCAAGCAAGCAGCACAATAATAAACAAGAGGCACAACACCAGGTCCAAAAGGAAGTTAAACGTTTTGCCCTTTGTCGCCGCCCTTCCGTATCCCTGAGCTTTATACCATTCCGTGACTTTGGACATTTTGAACGGCTTGGGGTCGTATCCAAGCTCCTTCTTGGCTTTATCCAGGTTGAAGTAATGAGTAACGCCGGTTTTGTACACTTCGGCGCGGGTCAGTAGCGGCTGGAAGTTACAGAGAGGCCTGATAAGAAAATGAAGCCATTCTGTGAGGTAGGCCATGAGGTATACAAAGAAGAGGGGGAGGCGGAAGGTGGGGTATTCATACCCGAGGCCCTCAATGAAAGGCCGCAAGAACTCAAAATTGTCAACCGGATGGCTATCTGCAATGAAGTATGGCTTTCCAGCCGCGACGTGGCTTTTCTCTTCCGTTAGGGCTTCAGCTGCCAAAACGTGGGCCGATACTAGATTGTCGACGTGCACAAACTGCACCTGGTTCTGGTGATCGCCATACAAGAACATGAACAAACCTTGGTCAACAGTCTTAATGATCCTCGGAAGATGCCTTTGTTCCCCGGGCCCATAGATACCGGCCGACCGAAGAGCGCAAGTCCTTAAGTACCCGCTTTTACTGGCCAGCTCGAGCCCGTTGGCCATCAGCACCTTCATCTCAGCCATGGCCTTGGTGCGGGAGTAGTTGTCGGCATGGCGATGCAGAGGTAGATATTCCATAGATTCGTCTCCATTTTGAATCTTCTGCCCTCCAAACACCACGTTGAATGTACTGGTGTACACAAGCCTTGGGACACCTTTACTCAGGCAAGCTTGGATGACGTTTTCTGTGCCCTTCACGTTGACCTCTTCGATGAGTTGCGTTTGCAGTTGTTCCCGGCCTGACATCCCGTAGGAGGCTGTGTGGATGACGCAACTGGCGTTGGTGAAGGTGTCTTCTACCGTAGACAGAGAGCGAATGTCCCCTTGTATAAACCGGATTCCATCCGGGAGATCCTGAGCGGGCTTTCTTATGTCGAAAAGAACCACGTTGATTCCATTCTCAGACAAACGGCAACCCAACCTAAAAGCAAATAGAAAATAAGAGTGAAGAGTTAAAAGAATGAGAACATACAGTATGTGATGGCTCATTAAAGGAGAAGTATCGGGAGAGTGACATATACTCCTTCCAATACTTAGAGCCAGCATGTCGCTCATTGGAGGGACAGACAGGGGAGGGGGCGGGCACAGCTGGCTCTGCTTCTAAAGATGCAGAGCTAGCTGTCAATCAGGCAGCCGGGTGGATGCCAACAATAATGTTGGGATCTTTCCCAGCCGTGGAGTGGCACTGTCCTGCCAGAATATAGTGGGTAGGGACGCACCGATACCGGTTTTTCGGTAACGAGTATCGATATTTTGCTTTCGGTACTCTCCAATACAGAGTACTGATACCGGGGGTTCCGCTGGCATGGAGCCGGCTTTCAGGGCAATCAGGAAGCCGGGCGGCATGCCTGTTCACGCTAACCGGCTTCCTGATTGCTTGGGAAGCTGGCTCCGTGCTGTTTGGCTGGTAAGCCGGTTTCCTGGCCAATCACAATCAGCATCGAGCCAGCTTTCCGGCCAATCAGGAAGCCGGGTGGCAAGTAATGACCCGTCACCCTAAATTGGCCAGGAAGCCGGCTCCATGCTGATTGGCTGGAAAGCCGGGGGTTCCCTGCCAATCAGCAACGAGCCGGCTATTCGGCCGGCTCGATGCCGATTGACTGGGAAGCTGGCCCACCAACCAATAAGCAGGGTACCGGCTGTTGGATGCTGATTGGCCTGGAAACTGGCTTTCCCGCCAATCAGGAAGCCGGAAGGCAGGTCATTGCTCGGCGCCCAGCTTTCTGATCGTGTGGGAAGCTGGCTCCATGTTCTCCTGCAGCACTGCCGGTCAGAGGAAATCTTCCTCTGGAGCCTGCCAGGTCCCTCCCCCAGCTCTATTCTGCACAGTGATGATGTCACTGGTATTTTCATTATCTGGGTTCACAATGGCATTTGGTGCACACAAAGTGGATTTAGATCCTTTGTGGCTATTAATAAATATACTTAAATGAAACTTTTTGTGCCCAGTGTTCAGCTTTATGCAAACGAGCCAACCAGCTTCTCCAGGACGTGTTTCCAGGACAGCCTTGGCTCACAGGAAGAGGGTTGGATGATGCTGGCCGTTATTCAGTGTGGAAGACTGGCGGCATCTAGTGGTGGAGAAGTACAATGGGGGAGGGGGAGGGGATTGACTGAAGGTTGAAGGTGAGTACTACAGCAGTGCCAGGCTCCATATTTATTTCCTAAATCTGCAATTCACCTTTAATTTTTAGTTCCGAATGGAGCGATCCCCTCACATCGCCTCCGTGTCACATGACCATCAGAGGTAAGCAGCGCATCGTGACAGTAGTGAGTGGCAAGATCTGTGCCGAGACCTTCTCCAGCAGAGCAAAGCCCATTAACGTTATCTAATTAATAATGGAATTTGGCTCCTCCGGAAGATGCAATTAGCTTTCATTAGTCACAATATCCCCCGGGAATGGAATAATTAAAACAGAATATTAATAGACTTTCCATAATTATGCAACTTTATTAATTATAGCTCGGCACTAACCTGTGTCCAAAATATCCACCACCGCCGGTAATGACAATGGTTTCCCTGGGAGATGGTGACATGGCTTCTTATGGCGCGGAGAGACACAGACCTTCAGAGAAGACGGAGACCAACCAGAGCTGAGAGACGGGAAACAATTCACATTCACCCAACCGGACAACTGTGTGCGAAGAAGCAATAATAATAAATAATACTAAATATAATAATAAACTCAGGGGTGACTGGTCTTGTCTCTGCCCCCTCCTGTAATAAAGACCACTCACTGCTGCTCTCTCTCTCCTTGTGCAGGGTGACTGGTCTGGTCTCCGCCCCCTACTGTAGTTTCCTGTAGTGGGTGGGGCCTGCTTTGCTCTACACCCAAGAGCAAAAATGAAATTTGTTGCAGCTTACCGATCCCAAAATGTGGTGGCTGCATTCGTTTTATTTTTCTCCCTTTATTTTTCCTGCCCCTAGGTGGCCACACTCACTCCTCCGTTGTATCTATGGAGGGAGCAATGATTGCCACCCAGGCTGGACTTCAAACACGTCTGCTTTGCTCATCTCCATTACATGGGCGATGGTGAGATTAGTAGTTACCAGAAGGAAGATAACAATGTTTTGTGCTTTCCGTTCAGCTAACAGGAAGGGAGAAGGACCCGGCATTCCTGGCAGGACCAACAGGTATTCGCGGAAAATGTTCTTAGCCTGAAAAAAAAAACCAAATACAGCCGCCACATCTGAGGCCTAGTAGGCTGCAATATATTGAAGGTCCATTCACCTACAGCCAGCGTCCGTCCATTCCTATTCACCGCACCTCAGCTGCAATGCCTAGAAATAAATCTAACGCCACTTTGTGACATTTCAATAAAGTTTATATAAAAAAGTAAACAATGCCATGTATTGTAAACACAAGGCTCCGCCCCCAACTCCTGTGAGGCCCCATTCACAGGTGTGTAAAGGCAGCCATGTTTGTAGTGCAACCACGACTGTCTCCATAGATACAGTGGAGGAGTGAGCGTTGTCACCCAGAGTCCCTATATCTGATGCCAGGAGGTGACAACCTTCACACATATTGTTACATATAAAAATATACAAATATTTTCACATACACAAAATGCTGATGTTACATAACAGCTCATGCAGCATTGTGTGCAGGCGCTATTACAGTGCTGGTACCTATAGAGATGCCCCCTCCCCCTTCTTACAGCGGTCAGTGTCAATATATACCAATGCCAGGGTCTGCTCTCCGCTGCTCACCAGTGCAGAAGTGGTGCCACACTACGTCCCCGTGACGTCAGCTGACTTTTCACCCCCAAGAACACAACCCCGCCCACTGAACGTCGATAGGTAGTTCATCAAGTCCGCAGGAGGAGAGGAGAGGGGGGGCGGAAACCTCCTCGCACAGTCTAATCTCTCTGGCTGGCGGAGATAAGTAAATGTTCCGTACAGCAACATGATGGCGCACTGTACGGATTCTGACGTGCGCCGTTGTCAGGGGAGACGGGGAAGCCGTGCGTCGTGACGTAAACAACGTGACGTGGGGCAAAAGCCATGGCGGGGAAACTGAAGCCGGAGGAGACGAGGAGGGTGTTGGAGGCGCTGAGCGGGGTGAACAAGAAGCTGGGTACGGGATAGGGCGCCGGCAAAGTGAGCTGATGAGGGTCGCTTTCTTAAATCATTGGTGGTTACAGGTCCTCAGAGCTAATATAGCTTTTCACTGGAACAATGTACTGTGTGGTGAGGGGCAGAAAACAGGTGGGGGGGGGATATACAGGGGGGTACACACATATTATTAGACATGTGCAAAGACTAAAAATGTTTTCATTAGTTTCGTCAAACGAAACAAATTTTTATGCCATTTTGGATTTGGCCACCAGCGCAATCTGTGTATGTGTACTGCCATCCTGGAGGCGGGGAGCATTACATCACATGATGCCGAGTGTGTGCATCGATGGGTGACATAACACATTGGGGCACAATTTTCTGTTCTTGCCACGGGTGCAAAAGGAGCTAGCTACGGCTCTTTGTGTGTGTATATATATATATATATATTGTATATGTTTGAAGGCTAATTGATTAGCCTGTATTTGTGGGAGGAGTCCGTTCCCTCCTCTCACACATAAAAGGGGCAGGTAGACTCACCTGGGCACGGCCTACAGCAGCATCCTAGGAAGCTTCGGTATGGACGGTCGTCACTTCCGGGATTTTCGTTGCTTCCGGTTTTCGGACATATCGATTCAGGTAACGCGGCTGGCGGTCTCGTTACTTGACTTATCTGGGCTCGTCGAGTCGCCTCATCGCTGGGGGGGGCACTTGGTGGCAGGGCGCATATCGGGCTTCGTGTGGGTTAGGGGGTGCAAGTTGTCGATCCCCGAGTTCGTGTTGGCGTTCGGGGTGTACAGGGACATAGTCTGTTCAGTTAAGCCCATGCGGAGGGAGGAGTTGGATGCTTACCTGCACATAGTGATAGATCTGGCCTACAAATATGGGGGGTACGCTTTCCACGACTATCACCGGGCATTTTCGGCCAAGGCTGCTTTAGAAACTTTTGATTCGCTCAACGTCCCGGTGGCGTCCAACAAGGTGGAGGGTCCCAGCACGGTCCTCACGTTTCTGGGCATTGTCCTGGACACTGCGGCCATGCAGGCCAGGTTGCCGCAGGACAAATTGGTTAGGATAAGGGAGGTAATTCACAGGCTGACGGTATCCCCTTGTTGTTCCCGGAAGGAGTTGCAGTCGTTGCTGGGCATGTTGAATTTCGCCATGCGTATTGTTCCGCAAGGTAGGTCTCTCATTTCTAGACTTCTGGCGTTGTTGCCTACCATGTCGGAACAGGACGCATTGGTGCACGTCGACCCAGCAGCGCGAGCCGATTTAGCTATGTGGTGGCGACCCTACGGAAGTCAGGTTTTTCCCCTCCGGAAACGCCTGGTGCCCCGTAGCCGTGCTAGATAGTCTCCTGGCCCTGTTGTCTCCCTTTTATGATGGATAGCCCTTTGCTGCCTTTTCCCTATACTCCTTTGTCAGGTAGTGAGTTCATGAGTCATGTTAGGTCCCTCGTGGGTCAGCTGGGGCTCAATCCCAAAAGGTATTCTGGACATTCCTTCCGCATAGGGGCAGCGTCGGCTGCCTCTCGCCATGGTGTCCCCGCACACGTCATCAAGAGCTTGGGCAGGTGGAACTCGTCCTGCTTCGCTAGGTACATACCAGATCCCCATGTGGAGATGGCAGATGCATTTTCCAAGTTGGCTAATTAATACTGTTAAATAAATATATTCCTAAATGGTTGCTTTTTGCCCCCTCATTGGCATACTGTCCATCCGGATCAAGGCACACCTCAGGTCAGTATTGGGTTACTCGCCCTTATGGCAAATGGATTCCGAACACAAATATATATTACACAACACGGTGCATAAAGTGGAATATGTAGTATACAGCTGAGTGGACTATGTAATGTACAGCAGGGCCTGACAAATCCCAGATGCCGGATAGAAATTGCCTCCTGGTGCCTTTTTCAGCCTGTTCACTGTTCTGCTGCCCCATCAGCTCTGTTCTTCCTGTTTTCCCTTGTGGGAGCCCACTGCATGCTGTGGTCTGTGTCCCCTTGAATCCCTGCTGCTCTCCCTGCCTGTATCAGCAGAGGCAGTGGGTATCATCGACCGGTGACAAGTCCCCCATCCAGCGGCTGGCTGCAGTAGCCAGCCTGCTTTTGGCTATTTTAAATATTTCAGTAGCCAATTGGAGGCTGACTATTGCACCCACCTGCTGTCAATCAGCAGAGGATCTGAGCTGAAGGAGAACTGCTAGTTCTGCATGACGTGCTGACATCAGGAGTGATACAAAAAAAAAATGGCGGCGTTCTAAAGGGGCTTTACATTTTTTTAATTCCCTTTAAATCTGGAATGAATAGAAATATTACCCTCTTCTCTCCTCACATGAGAGCTGTACTGAAGAGGAATTCCGCAACAAAAATCTTTCCCTGCGACAAACAATGATTAGCACTTGTAACACTGGGAGGTCCCGGCCAGGACACTATCTGCATGGAATTTGCATGTTCTCCCTGTGCTCGTGTGAATTTCCTCCGGGTACTCCGGTTTCCTCCCACACTACAAAGACATGCTGGAAGGTTAATTGGCTCCTCTCTCAATTGGCCCTGTGTGTATGCGAGATAGGGACCTTAGATTGTAAGCTCCTTGTGGGCAGGGGCTGATGGGAATGTACAGGAAGTAAAGCACTGTGTAAATTGTCTGCGCTATATAAATACCTGTAATGAATAAAATAAACATAATTGTATCATTTTATGGCCAGGGTGTCCCACCTCTGTACAGGTGACATCCGGATCAGAGAAGACAAGTCGGCTCTGCAGTATTAGTGATCGGCTCTGAATGACCTTTGCTGCGCTATTGATCGCATTAATGTTTTATTAACTGGCGTACGGTGTGCTGATGGAGAGGGTTTTCCTTCTATTGCAGGATCCTGTTTGGAGTCCATTGAAGAGAGTCAGAAAATGCTGGAGAAATCCGCCAAGTGTCAGGATTACCTCAACCACGTAAGTCTTGCGGCAGGTTGTCTGTCCACCCCCAAAAAATATATATCAATATGAAGAGGTTTAATTGCCACACAGGCCAATTGTAACCCCCTAAATGGATCAGTACAAACTGCCACCAACTTTAAAGTGACAGAACTCAGGAATGAAATCTTAAAAATGCATTCAGGTACCTTAACTATTAACAAAAATGTATCTTTTTTTGTGTATCACCCGGCTGTAGATCCTCCAATCATCTCTGAATTGGTGCTGACACTGTCCTTCCTTCTGGAGGGGGGCTACTTTTGTCCCCATGGTCCCTGTGTGTGTTGTAAAGCTCACTCCTGTGATGGACTACAATCTCACGGGGAGGTGAGAATGATGTTTAAATATGAAAGGGGGGGGGGTTAGGAGGGCAATAAAGTAAAGTGAGTGGGGGAGTGATACTTAGAAGTGCTTGAATTTAACTTGGTATTATCCTCTTGCAGTCTCCTGTACAGCAGAGCTTAGAGAAGGGGAGAGATAATGCAGTGCAAGGGACATGCTGATAGGAGAAGAGAGCAGAGAGGCAGAGACAAGCTCATCAATCTGTTTCTCCTTTCAGCTGTCCAGCCACCCGGTGAGGGAGGAGCTCTCCTGTAAGTGAAACTGCACCAGAGAAAGATTAGGGCTGTGCTCAGTGGCAGACTGTGCACTCGTTTCATCCGTGTATCTAGTCATTTGCCTGGAGTTTAACCTTAAATATCAGATTCGGGTGGCCAGGCCATGTAAGTTGCACTTTACTGTGGACTTGTGCTAGAATGTGTGTTATGAATGCTGCCAACTCCATTGTTAACACGCTAAGCTATTTCTGGAGTCGTGCTGTCGTGAGCATGCTGACCAATGGGAATCTCTTCTGAGCCTCCTAGTAGAAAGAAGAAACTCCCACTGGCCTGCATGGTCATGTGACTGTTCTGACCAATAACTGCTAGCCGACGTGAGCAATATGATGCCACACAGCCTCCGGTAAAGTTTACAAGTATCTGGACGGTTACACCGGCTAGTGTGGGTGGTGGGAGATGGCATTCACTGCAGGTAAGTGGAGCAGGTACCTGGGAAGGGTGTTGTGAGTTCACCTTTCCATTTTTTTACGAAAAGTTGACCTTTTCTTAGGTGTAGGCGACCTTGAAATACAACTCCCATGAGGCATTGCAAGACTGACGGCCACAGGCATGAGCCCCAGAGGCAGAAGCATGATGGGATTTGTAGTGTCACTATAGCTGGAGTGCTGAGGTTGCCTACTTCTGACTTGCCTTTTAAAAATGATGCAGTTGGCTGCTGACATGTCCTATCTGTACAAACTCCTCCTCCCTGCGCTGCTGGAAGCAGGCTGAAGAAGACTTCCATCAGGCATTTTAAAAAGGTTTGCATGATGTAGTTGGCACATTGTGATTGATGGTAAGCTGAGTAGGTCACTAGTAATAAAATAAAAGGGTAACCTCAGGGAGTGCAGTGTACACTCTAGGGGGCATGCATTAGCAAGCTGTTATTGAATATATACCCCAGGACGCATTCCACCCACTCACTGATTGCCAGAGAACCCTGAAACCTGTGGCTGTCTGTCTCACATTCTGCCCTACTCTCTTGGTTAACCTGTCATTCATCCAGTCCGTCATGCAATCAAGCCCATTAGACACTCGTAACCTGTCCCGTGATCCGGTTTTATGACTAAAGCCACATAAAATTGAACCGTAATATCTTTGA